ATCTGTACACATATCTAATCTGTGTACGCACATTTCCTTATTATACTAATTTGAATTTTAAAAAGTATTAAAAATAGGAATAGAGGATTGAAAATAGGAATAGAAATATAGAAGAATTCGCGATAGAATTTATAAATAGAATTTATAAATATAATTTGTGTGATTTTTTTATGCAAATGTTACATTCTTTCATACATTTTAAAGAATTTTTGCTTTTCTATTTATTTGTGAAATGCATATAAAATGAATTAGATGCAGACAATACACATTCTACTCTGCAATTAATTAATCTTGTTACGTTCCTCACGCGATTAGGTAATGTTTCCTTTAAATTTGTTCGTTTTTCTTTAAATTTATTTCTACGCTAAACAAAGCTGCGAAAACAGATCATAATTCATTCGGTTTTTGAGAAGTAATATTATATATAAAATCTATAAAATTTTAATGCGGATAAAAATTGTTAGTTACAAGAAGTGCGCATAGCAATAAGTATACGTTGGCCGTGCACCGGAAGCGACCGGCTATACCGCAGCTGATCGATTAAAGAATATAGTGCGGTAATTATCTATCACGTTATACGGTGATCTATGGGCTATAAAACATAGACTATAATTGTGTGCTTTTATTGAGAAAACAAGAGAAATTTTTCAATGTCATGCTGGAGTTTGTACAGACTATTGTCAAATCCAAAATTCTAATCTTAGAATAGATAAACTATCCATGCGAAAAATGTCAATAATTAATTTGTCTTTGAATTTTGTAGAGATTTTTAATTACGGAAGATTAATTTTAAGAAAAATGGTGCTTTTTAATAAATTCGTACAAAATATAAATTATATATTTGCGTCGATCGTTCGTAAAAAGGAAGCTGTTTTCGCAATTTTGTTTAGTATATAGAAGTAAAGGAAAACAAAAATAAGGAAACATTGATCGCGAGGAACGTAATGAGATTAGTTAATTGCAGAGGAGAATGTGTATTGTGTGTCGGAAATGCCTGATTATATAATCATTTGATCTATTAATAGATATCGCGGCGCAATTATCATTATGCAGTGATTTATTGTCCATAAACTGAGATTGTACTGTGATATTTAGTTACACATACCTCTACTCGAGGACTGAAGAAAATTACTTTATTTGATATACATTCGCAGTTTAATGAAATTATTTCCTACTGTATAAATAAGCAATCACAAAGCTAAACACCTCACGTACTAAAAAATCATTTGGCGTCACAGAATCGGTCCTTTGGAATGCCGTTGAAATTTGATCGCGAACTCGTTTATGCAATGTCATCATAAAAGAGGGACTAAATTTCCACTTGAGCGATAATCGTCTATCTCGAAGAATGTCTCGACATCTTTTACCTAAAAACTTTATATTATAATTTTCTTTTTCTTTCTTTTTGCCTTTTTTACTATGCAGATTTTCCTTAATAGACATCAATCAACTGTAACTTTTTCTCTAGAGCGGAAACATGAAAAGTAAAAATTTGTATGTACATATACATACATACATATACAAAATTTTCACGTTTCCGCTGTAGAGAAAAAGTTACATGATTGACTCCCTAAACGGGCCGAGGAAATATAAATTCCGCACCGCGTACAAAAAAAATATCTGCATGTGAAATTCGCATAAACATAAAGACTCATTGATGCGCATAACAAGACACTGACTTCAGTAAAAACTTAAATTATTTCAAAGAGATATCTCATATTTTGTTCCGATCGATGTACCGATAAATTACTCCGAGTTAAATGCAACGTATACACACAATAAGATCCTTGTTAGTGTCGTTCGTCTATCTGACATCACGAAAAACAGCAGGCGTAACAGCATTCCCCGGGATATCTGCCAACCCCGCGACCCGACACGACCGTTAGACCGGAATCCAAATCAAGGATCAGGATCCTGCAGGCCTCGCGTCGGCCGGGATCGATCCGGGACGCGCAACGGGAGCCCGCGGAGGAAGGAACGGGAGCGTATCGAAAGATGCAGGCTTCGATAATCCTTCAGGGTAGGTCGGTACATCGTGCTCGCCAAGTCTTGCCTATCGAGGTGAGGCGCTCCACGGAAGGGGCATCCGCGTCTCTCTTTCTCTCTACCTCTTTCTCTTGCTCCCGCTCCTGCTTTCTCTTACCATCATCGTTCTCATTCTCGCTCCTACTCGCTCCCGCGGCCGGCCAGCCGACCTACGTGGAGATGCTCAGGTGTAAAACCGTTGATTGCCAAGGCGCGGTATTTTCTCTTTGTACGGCGATGGTAGCGGTGGGCGTGCCGGGCACGACCAAAGGGAGACGGCCAAGGCCTCCTCATCGCGCGCTACCGCGATTATGTTTATTATACTTCGGCACACGCGTGTGCGTACGTGCGCGTACTTACACGCGTCCCCGCCGCGCCCGCGCCCGCGCCGCGCCGTTTACTGCGTGGTCAAGCATCTTCGTCGCGGATGTGGGGATGCGCAACATGCCGTACCGTAGTCGGAGTGAATGGCGAATAGCTACCGTAAAGACGCGTTGCCCGTCACAGAAACGTTGTTTAAAGCCTCGCGGAGGCGACGCCACGCCTAATACGAGAAAGAGAAACAGAAATCGCGCCTGATTGCATGAACTTAGTTTAGAGGATCGCTCGCGTAGGATTAACTCTTCGTGCTAACGACCGAGTAGTCGTGTGTGCGGAGGAAGGAGTTTCTTTACAAAAGAAACACATTAACTGAAAGGAGCGTTAACTATAGCATTAATCAATCATCACATAAATCATATAATTTTATATTTGACTTACGTAATAAGTATATGGAAAGTTGGAATATATTTATTCCTTGAATCGCATTTGCAGAAAAAAATTTGATACATGCTACGTATTTCCAATTTTATTAAATACAACCGGAAGTAACGGTCGAGCGAACTCGCATGTTACCGATTTGTCAACAATCTAAGAGAAATGAGAACGTTCCAATAAATATTACTGGAAGTAACACCGGAGCATATACTCGAGGCGACTCGCTAATCATCCGGCAGGTTCCCTCCGGGGCTCTTCGAGAAGAGATCGATCATCGCGATTCACGACGGCGGTAACGATCTCCACTGCCGTCATCGGCAGTGACGCTCCAGCGACGCGCCGTCGTTGAAGATAAGACTGAGTTAGAATTCCATCGAGATGGAGCCTTGACATTTCATGGCCTGGAATCGACCGGCATAATTGATCGGCCTCCACGGCTCCCATTCGACGAACGACTGTTCCATTCTGTCCGGTATGGTTACGACGAACTGCGTTATATGACCTCGCGCCGAGTGACGAAACGCGACCGCGTAAACGACTTCGTAAACTGGATTTCAGTCTTTCGCGGAACGAAAAAGAAGTGGGACCAATTAAATTGGACCATTAGGAGGTCTCGACGCTAAAAGAGGAAGGCACGAAATTGGAGCGATCGCAATAAAATTAAAAGTCGAACGTATGCTTGCGTTTAATGCATTGCTTGCATCATATTATATTCGATGTATAATTTCGACATAATAAATGATTGTCGAAAAATAAACATTACTGCTACAATATTTTAAAAAATTAGACAATTTTGTTATTCAAGCATAAAATGTTAAGCAACTAGGAATGTCATTCGAAGTGCAAAAATGTCTGCGTTATCTAAAATTAACTTTAACTGCGATGCTTTGTACAATATAACTGCAATGTTTCTTTCAATCTGCCGTCTTGAGATTTCAGTAAGCATCGACTGAATTTGAAGAGTAACGAGAAAAGTACCCACAATTTTCATGTAAAGTTGACGATACCTGTTATTACTACGGGTGCTCCTACAACGCGTTCTGGCTAAACGAACGCGCAAATATAAACTCGGCAGCAGATACGACAAACAAATGCCACGGGTGCTGCAATTTTCTGTCGTTAACGACCGGTAGTGTCTTAAACCCGTGTGCAAACGTACCAATAACGGTCGCACTCGTGCGTACTAAAAATTTTATAGCGTCGCATTTATCGACACGAGAATGGCGTTGGCAAAACCTTGTTTAACAAAATAATGACTACAATTATTCTACTTTACATTTGCCTGTTGTGTAGCGCAAACGATATTTTCTTGCGAGAGAGGGGGGCCGCTTCATCTTAGCAATTTACTACAAGTAATCGTCGATCAAGAAGAGTTATAACTACCGGATTGTCAGCCACTCGCTAGCATTAAAAGTACGTTTTTCAGTTGCATCGGCGGTCAGTACGTTACAAGTAGTCAACGTTTACAGAACCTAATTGCCTATTCGTCATAGCACGTACTACAAATTTTTCATTCTTTATATTCCTTAAAAAAGCTAAACGTTTTATAAAGTCTAAAAAGTTATCACACGCAAATTTATTATATAAGGTCAATATAAAAAGAAACACGCTTACGCAACTAATAAAAAATATAATTTAAAATGATATGAAACGATCTGTCGCGTCTCTTCACGACTGAAGACGATCGCGTGCGATTCTGTAATCTCTTTCTCCTAGCTTCCTTTCTCGCCAATAAAAGAATCATTTAAATCTGATGCGGCGCCCAGGGTGCAACTATATAGCAAAAGTCGCTCGCGTGGTTCGTGTCTCGACTCGTTTAATTTACATAAACACGTACTCATTGATTGCCGGACCAGATTGTCCGGCGTTATTACTTCTACGACCGGTTAACTTCACCGCAGGACCGCGAATAATCGTTAAGCCCTAATCACTTCGCTACGCACGTAGCACCGACCTCGCCCGATAGATATGTCCGATACACGCTCGGTGCGTAGAGTTAACTTGGTCGGCCTCCGCATAATCGCTCGAATCAGTGGGACGATGATTTTCACTTCCGACATTCGAGAAACGACGGTTAATACATTACTTTGCTTACATCAAATGTATGGCTACGTTATCGCAACGAATTATCGTGGAAGAAATAGCACAACGACAAATAAATTGAGAATTATACAGACTACTGCATAACGATATTTGCTGGATGCAGAAAAAGTACTCACCGAAATGATACGAGAAAGAGCCTCCGCCGTCAGAAAAGCCGTTCTTCTCGGATCCTAAAAACAGAAAAGGAGAGCGTTCTAACAGAAGAATCTATTTTACACTAAAACTCTGTAACTTTCGCAATTTTCCATTTTCTCACTTATAACAAAAAAATGTTATATTTTTTTTCACTTTCCCGCATACGATAACTAATCAATAATTCGCTTTAAAAGGGAGTACGAAAAGGAGCATCGATCGATCGATTGATCGAATACCACGCGCACTGCAAGTGCTAGATAGCAGTCTAGAGCACCACCCACGAAGCGGCTACTTAGCATGAACGACCAGCCAGGAGGTACCTTCCTCCCTATCTGACAAGGTTAACTAATACAGCTTCCACCGATCGCGCGCGGTCTCTTGATTAGAAATACGTCGATAAATCAGAGAAAGGAGAGACCCGCGGGAGAGCCCCATGCGCATCGGAGATAGCTGCGAAGAAGGAAGGCTCAGAGAAGAAAAGGACAAAGGAGAGACGTAGAACACGGCATTCCGTGTAATTGTCCCGCTTATATGCCCATAGGGTAAAGAATTCGACGTTGAACATAAGTAAAGACGGTTGAGCGAGCTGTATGAATCAGAGGGATTATTATAGTGGTTAGCGAATAAATCATTGACTAACGTCAATGTTATTTATAAATACTAGTAAAACGAAAATCAATCATATTCATTAACTACATGATATTCTATTAATACCAGCAAATGAAAATATAAAATTTTAGTGTAGTTCCATTTATTATGTATTTGTGTGGCTTTAGCGTGAATTATATTAATATGAAAGCGTTTATTATATAATCTAATTTATTATAAAATAAACACTGAAACCTTTGAATTATCTTATTACGATATTTCTTTTCGTAGTTGTGTTAACAGATATGAGTCTTGTTGCACCCGCGTTTCATGTAAGTGCAATTCGCGCTGCCGTAACGAGATAATTAAATAAATATAATCAAAGATAAACGTACGCTTCTCAAGTAATCGTTTAATTGGATGTTACGCCTGTCAAAGCACGTTGCTTCCGCACAAATGCTGCGCGCTGCTGCGTCAAATTAGCGAGAAGGGAGAAATCCGAATATCTGATTTTTCCTACCGTATATATTGTATTTTTAAATGAAAAGAAAAAGATAAAAGATTAACGTTACGTTAAGATTACGTTGTCGGAAATTTCTTACCTTTGTATCGGTTCGGAAGGAAACCGAAATCCCAGTCAAGGCTGAACATGCTCATCAAGGATATATGTAATATCTCACTGTATACTGATATCGATTCACCTCTATGCAAAGCATAAAATCAATACACACGTCGAAATATCCCAAGAGTATATAGAAATAAACTCGAACAGTAAGTCACTTAAACGAACACATGAAATTCTTTAAGCTTGGAAAAATTTGTGTAAAATGGTTCATATCCTCTCTATATACTTACATGTAATATATATTACATTATATATAAATTATATATAAATAATAGCTTTATTTCAAATTTTACTACCAGTAGATACTGAAAATCTATAGTGCACGTAAGATATATTTTTTAGCGCTAACAGTGAATTTTGGAACACAGCTAATATATAGTATATAATATATATATATATATACACAATGTAGGTAATATATGTCATGTCACGACAAATTCTTTATTAATAAATTAGAACTTGAAATATTTTTTTAAATAATATTCCACAAATCCATGTACTTTATATACTCGAAATGATTACCTATTTTGCGATAAAGGCAACATATTTGATTAATATAATTTCACCGCGATCGTTACTGACACAGGTCATTTTCGTGTTTCTTCTCATCGTTTTTTTTTCTCATCGTCCGCGTTTCTCGTCATCGCGGCGTACACAGGACGAACGCATAATCGCGCGGCCTGGAAAGGCTGACGCGATCGCGCGCAGTCGAGATTCCGCTCGTTCTTACGCGGCGAGAGCATATATACGAGAGGCCATAGATTACTGTTTTATGCCGCGATGAAACTATCTCTAGGCTAGGTGCGGCCTGGCACGTTCGCCTGCCCAAGCCGACGAAAAGGAAAAAGCCACCGCAGATTTCCCTCGCACCTCTACAAGGAACCGTTCAGTCGCGGCGCGGCGGCAAGCAAGCTACGCTTCGTAACGCTCCGGGCCGCGCGCAGGTACCATTGGCGGCACAGCGGTTTCGAACAACTTAAGACCGCGGTTGCGTTCCTTTATCACGATGGTTTTGCCATCACGCCGCTAGAAAGGAACGCGGCCTCGTGCACTTACTCGCGGATCATAAAGCACGCCGTAACCGTACTATTCGCACGACGTGCCGTAAGTCTAGCCGATATCCGGTGTACTATCGGAAAACGGTTCACCAGGGCAAAAAATGTATGAATGTTTAACTTGGCGAAAAAAACTAATTTTCGCTGTGCGGTTGAATACATTGCAATTACGACAAATTTTGTTGCTATTCTAATTTAAAAAGCATTAAATATAAACAAAGTTTTCTTCATCAGATGTTAAAATTTTTTAATTATAATAGTAATGAAAGATTAACAGACGGTAAAATAAAAATATTTCTTTTATTTATTTAAGAACTAACATTCCGACATAGTACATAATGCTTTACCTACTTAAATTTTATCGAGATAAAATAATTTCGCCAATCATATAATTCAATATATCACTTAAAGTCGATCACTTAAACTATCACCAACCATTTACAATTTTAATTATAACGAAATACTGATGCGTAACACCATACGCTTTTTAGACGAGAAATCCATTTTACGAAACAAGTACAGTTAGATCAATCGATCCGTGAATTCCAGTACGAAAGAAAACATGTCGAGGCGAGGGAACGAAACGCGTCCGTCTCTCCCGCATAGCTCTATACGACCGTGAAATAATCGAGTTGCGCGCGCGGGAACGATCACTCGCAATATAATGGGATTTTCTTTTATACCGTGACTCACGCGCCTTCGCACAGTCCGGCATCGAGAAAGAAAGGAATTAGAGCGAATACGAATGATCGACGATCCCGTAAAATTCGCCCTTCGCCATTCGCCCTCTCGCCATTCTCGGCTCTTGTATGTCCCGTTAATGAGTTTTTCGTGCCTGCTCGCGCGTGTCACGCACACGGGACACCTACCCGATCCCGATGTCCATTAACTTGGCAAAAAGCCCGAAAAGAGAACTGTGTCCACGGTTATACCGCATTTATGTACGAATTAAGCTCGCAGTAAAGACAATCTCGCGGCTCGCGCAAGACTGCCCGATAATTTTCCACATATTAACTCACATCCGTGTACATCTCGTAATTCTGTATAAATCTCATGACTTTTGTTAGACTCAACGTGTGGATTTCGTAGAGACTGAATACCTGTGACGAAACTGTTGACGATTAGAATGATTTTAATTATAATAAGCAAGACAACTGATATATCAAATCTCAATGATTTCAAAATTGGTTTTCGTAATATTTGTTTTTGCATTATAATTCCTATTCTTTTCTTGTATGCAATAAATAGCACACCATTTTTATTATTTTTATTTTATATTCTTATGAGTAATTTTTTATATTGATCATTACAAAGTTTTTAATATTGATCATATTGTACATTGATATTAAAAACATTCTTTTATAATAATAAATTTAAAAAATACTAACAGTTATAAAAATCATTTACAAATTTCCAAGGTTTCTCGAACAACTTCGAAATCCTTGAATATAATTAAGATTTATATCTTTTTCGATTAAAATTGATTGCGGTCAAACAAGGTCGGAAAAAAAGGTCAGATACCGAAATCTCGTCGCGAGAGAAACATATCGAGAGTAACGGATGAAAGACCAAAGACGAGAAAGGAACAAGCACGTGGCGTGGGAGTTCACGGGGATGGAGCGAAGGGAATGAACAAGCACGCGTTGTGGGCGGATCTCGAGGAGGTGGTGGAGGTTAAAGAGGCGGCATTGGTAGGAGCTATCTCGATAAAACCAGAAGAAGGTATACCGACTTGTTTTTTTTTTGTACGAACATACTGTCGCTCATGACAATGATATTAATTGCCAAATGACCAAAATTATCAAAATTATCGATAGATTCCTACAATAAAGTAACTAATAAAACATCAAAATTTCAACCATCAAATAATTTTAAGATTTAATATGGTAGAGAATATATTTCCATATTAAATATCTGTCAAATTTCAAAAATTACATACCGCGAAGTAGAGGTTACAATATTTTCCCTTTCTCCAACGCAAGGCTACCGAAAACTATTAATTTCAGGTCCCTCGAAAAGTCACCGTTCGCTTCTGTGATTACAGGTTATCAAGATATTCTTTAAAATTTCGATGATCTGCCAGAGTATCCTAGAATTAAGGAAATTACGCTCCGCGCATGATAATTCAAGAGGTGATGGAATCGCACATTGAAACCTAATTTACATTTTCCTACGTATTAAGAGATTGAAGAGGTCTGTAATTGGAGTTCGTGAGTAACGTGTAATTTCTATGTGAGTTTCACCTAACGAGACCTTTCAGTCTCAGGTGGATAAACGCAGGGTTAAGAAACGTTCCGCGAAACAGGAAATGAAGTACTTGGATAAGGACCTCTCTGTACACCTGCGGATAATGACGTGTCGCGACAATTTTCCAGTTATTATGTTTACTGTGGCATTTCCGGCAAAATCAACGATAAAAACTAACGAGGCTAACCATAAATCATTCCACGCATCGCGTTGTATCTAGCGGAATCAAACAGCCGAGTTTATTAAGTTAACTCTTTGCAATTTAGCACAATATGATAACATAATGATAACACAACTATTCTATCGCATTTTTTAGACAATTTCGTTGCAATTTTATTACAGAATTTTAACATCTTATTTGTGTATTTTAAGATGTTTTAAATTAAATCTTATGACAACAGAAGCATAAAATCATACTCGTGCGATTCGTTTCAACTGCAATGATCTACTAATCGTTTTCTACCTTACTGTCTTTTCGAGGCCGGATTTACATAATGTTAGCACCAACCGCGTCCGATTGCTCGTAATTAGCGACACGTAGCGCGCGCCCACGTCAGGTCACCGGTGTACAGGATGGACGAAGAAGGAGAGAACGATCCCCGTTAACGAACCGTGGTGTAAGGTCATACGTGAGCCGGCGCGTGACCCATGATACCTACGCACGTATGCACCCACGCGCAAATGAGATGTATACGCAACCTTCCTCGCCGCGTAATCAAGGGAACGATTCACTCGGTAATTGTAATGCAAACCGAAGCTACCAACGCGATAGCGACCCTCTTCATTAATGACAGTATTTACAAATCCGATTCAAACACAAGACCCACAAATGCTATTCATTGTCAGTATCGCTCAAGTCAATTTATTACCGAATTGTCTACGCAGAAAATAATATTTTGTGAATTTAGCGAGATTTATAAGAGACGCCCATGAAGTAACCGATAAAAAGATTGTACCTAGAACCATTGTACCTAGAACCTCTCGCAAATTACTGGTTATTAGCTCTCGAGATCAATCACGCGCTTCTGTGAAACGTATTTGCGATACAAACGTGTGTTACGGAATTATGTCATTATGGGTTAATTTTTCTCAGTTACCTCAAATTCGTTTATGGATCATTAAGCGATTTACCGGACGGTCGCGTAGCTGCTCATGATTCTCCAGAATGGCGCGCTTGATTGCTCGTCAATCCCGCTTTATTTACGATTACGCAGGAACATCGCTAGGCGTGAATAATTAAAACTGCATCACGAAACGCGACTCTCGTAAGGGGAAACGTCGAATTTATAACGTCGAATGGGATCGTGCACGCCCGTTAAGGCATCTTATGAAGTAATGAAGTAACTAATCACGCGACCACGCAAATCGATATTAAACGCGTGACGCTGACCCGGAGAAACACACGATAACGAGTAGGGCTCTCTATCGTTTATAATAGATTCGATAGTATGAATATCATACGCGCAGGTCGTTCCGTCAGGTCGAACGAAAGCTTTGACCTCCCTTTAATGTGCGTCTCGAATTGTCAGGAAGGTTGACGAAACTGATCAAAGTCGAGCCGAGCGATTTAAAATAGACTAAAATAGCATTTCGGTACGTATAACGACGAATCGATCAAACGTCTTCATTGCGGAGCATTACGCGCACATTGCCGACGCGACGCGACGTCGCGGCAACACGGTTGATTTAATCCTCAACTCGGTTACGTTCACGATAAAACGAGTTTATTG